ACAAACGTCCATAAATGACACAGTACAAAAGATTGGACTGACAATATTAATCTTATACTTTGCGTATACGATTACTATGCAAATGGAACGATAAAATAAGCATACCGTCCCTATTCAAATTCCTAACTGTACAAATTTTTTGGTCAAACAGTTATTGTTTGGTATTTTTTTAAGTGAAGAAATATAATTTCGCCCATAAATTATGACATTTTTAACTGTTTATGATCTCTGGCTGGAAGGCGAGGCATTAAGGAAAATGGAAAAAAAAAAAAAAACGGTTAGTTAAACTTTTAAAACTTTTACATGTGTTGTTCGTTTCACATTTATTCAATACAAATCCCTCTTTCCCAGCTGCAAAATGCCCTTAAGCGAACTTGTGTATCCACTTTAATCAAATTCGTGAAATTCAATAAATGCGAAAACAATTTCAAGTTGAAATGATGGTCAACTGCTTTCGCCCGCATATTACAACAAAAGACAAGACATGAGAGTTAACGAGATGCGTTTCGTATGCGTTTAGATCCCTTTTGCTTGCAATGGAGTGCAATGCAAGGCGGCCTATTGTCTATTTGAATAACGTTATTTAACGAAAGCAGTTAGTATTATTTAACGAATGTTATCGAGTACAAATGCAATTGAATTACATATGAATTCATTTAATTGAAACAAATCCTTATTGCAACATGAACCGATTATATCAAGCATATAGCATTCAAGTTATGGTGCATATGAAGAAGACAAACATATATATACGTCGTTTACAAGAGTAAACTAAGTAAAGTTTCTCTATGAATTTGATGACAAGCAGAACAACAACAGCAACAACACTCATGAACATGTAATTAGGGAATGAGTTGAAAGTTAGTCTGGTTTTCATGTTCTTTCACACAAAAGCACATAATAAAATGGGAGCATAAGCCATTTTTCGTATTTGCCTCGGCCCGTACGTGTATTTATGTACGTATGCATATATATATGTGTGCGTGTGTGTTTGTGTGCTTTTGGAACATGTGTAGGAATGTACGCAGAGATGTGGTCAAAACTGTGATTATATTGGATTAGTGCGGTGGCATTTTTTTTTTTTTTGACCTGCTGACACGCACACACATATCAAAACCATGAAATTCAGACTTTTCGAAATTTGATTGCAATAGAAAGTGTGCTTTGCTTCGAATTGTCCGAGAGCAGCGACAACACTTGCAATTTGAGAAATTTTAAATAGGAAAATACTTAGGTTAAAATTACCTAACACTGGCATTAATAACATTCAATCGAACTCTACATAACAACAATTGAAAAGACGCGTGATTGCCTTTACCTTAACGAAGGGTATAAGCACTTGTCACAACATGGAATTATTAGCATTCGATCTGCCGTAAGCATTTTGGAAGACATAGCTACGCGGAAAAAATTGATAGATAAGTCGCTTGATAAACTTCTACAAAATTCTCTGAAGTTAAGTTTTCATGAGAAATTGATCACTTCCGAAACAAACGCATCTTGACTACTTAGTGAATTTAAAATCAGTCAATCAACTACAGTCGATTTATTCCAACTATCTTGAAGTAGTTGCAGGTGGGAGAAAGTTATTATTAGCAACAAAACTTCAGTAAAAATATCTTCGGAAATCCACGAAAACGGTGACGAAATTCAACTAAGCTCAATAAAAATGATCCCACGTTATTCTACATCCACCGTTCTGCGTTACAATTTTTCAATATCTGATGATCCCTATTTGCAGTTAATTACTTTATAGGCTACCGTCGCTTAGTTTAGTAGATAAGAACAGCGTATGGGTTCAATTTCCAGCACGATAAACCATACCGAGAAAGTAGACTCAAGCTCATAATGGCGTTCTGCTAAATCGATGTTAGCAATGGGTAACCGAAATCCACGTCCAAGTCAGCAGTGACGAGGTGCAACAAATTGTTTATTTGTGATGTGAGACAACAATGCCAGAAAATTATAAGCAATTTAGCAGTTGTAGACGACTATGATAATTAACATCCACGTGGGACTACGTCCAAGTTCGCAATAATAATGGATTACGTTCTGGATAATAATGCGGGCGATTTCGTTCAACTAAACAATCGTAGCGCAATAGTTCCGATTGAGCAAAGCTGCAGTGTTGTTAGCGAAGATATGAGACTATTTCAGAGTTAAACACGACTGGAAAGCAATCACTGGAAATTAGTTCGGGAACGACAGAGTAAAACGTGAGAGTTAGTAATGGTAAAAGGTTACACCCACCTACAGAACTGAGTTAAGCGTGGCCATGTCTATGGTCAAAATGACTATAAAATATCGAGGAAGTGTTAAGCTTCAAAGTTCCTCTAAATCTAACAATAAATAGATACATTTATTGGCCTCAAATCTAATATTATCTCTCCGCCGGCATTGAAGCTTATTGCCATTGTATTAGAAACGATAGCAGCGTAAGAAGAAAGCGTGGTCGTTTTGTGGCATGTGTTATGTAAAAAGGATGTGATTTCAAGGACACGTGCAATGTACGCAAATGTGTACAATTTTCGTCATTTCATAGGACGGACAATAAATACAATAATACATCTGCAGGATTTTACAATTTTCTAATTGCACTGTGCTTAATGACCTTTAAAACAAATACAAATAATAAAGCCAAATACGCAAACAATTTTCGACGCGTTATGTCTGCATTACACACAACTCTCTTGTATCCATCCACATATTTTAAAACATGTTCACATGTACATAGCAATGCATACAAAAACATTTCTATTCATAATACAAAAGCATACTTATAATCGACATTTAAAATACTGTTTTAATATTCTGTTGGCTCCGGTTAAACGAAGAACAATAATGATAAGGACATCCAAGTGTATGTATGTATGTATGTATGTATGTATATGTGTGTAAATAAGGTTTACCTGCACTTAATTTTCAATTGTATTATCTTTAGCTTATATTTGGCTTCGTGCATGTAAAACCAATGAACGGGGTGAGGTTTATGGGAAGGCAGGGTTGGCAAGGTTTCAACTAAGACCGCACATAGCATAGAATTTAAATCCTTTTACTCACTACACTATTTGACTTTCGACTGCTGGTAGTAATGTTGCTGCTTACGACTGCATGCAGTTGACAGCAAATAACTCCAATGAATACAATTGCGAAATTAATTTGCCATGGAGATGCAATTATTATCTCGATATAGTAATGAAAAGGGAGCGGAAGATGTATAAAGAGAGAGTGAAAGAGAGAGAGAGAGAAAGAGAGAGGGTGTATGGCAAAGGGCGGCAAGGGCATAAAGGATTCCAAAATTTAAAGAGATGTGTTACTATTGTCTGTTTGTATCATTGTACGTTCTAACGTAGGAGGATGAGAGACAGAGAAAAAAAAAAACAATTTTCTGCACAAGATTTGCGAAATAATTCCAAAATAATTTCAAAACAATACAGAAATACAAAAAAACAAAACAATACAATAGCATTGAAAAAGCTTAAAAGTGAAGGAGTTATAGATAAAGTAGTAGATCTGAACACATCTCTCCTCTCTGTGTGCTGCAGAATGTGGAGATATATAAATAATAAGTCAAGTTTGCAAAAAGAAAATTTCACTCATAAGCGCAAAGCTAGGAATACGTTACACCGTCCAATAGATAGGGGAGTCTTGTCTGCTTCGGAATGGTAAGCCTTTTCAACTCTACGATCAGTATCTGCTACACCAAGTTGTGATATAAAACCATGAATAGGTTGAGGCCTTAAGTCAGGTTAGGTCAGGATAGAAAGTGCTCCTGGACATAAGGCCAGCCCGTCCGGGAAGTAAGTTCCGTGTTAATGTAATCGTCTATGGAGTGTCTTTGGGAGGAGCACTGAAATCCCCCCCCCATTACGTTTGCGGTACACCAAAGTGATATCTGTAGGTCTATACTTTCGTTCTTCAAGCATAGTTTTAAAGATATTAGCGCTCGATTCCGAAAAGTTGAATTTCGTGATTATCTCGTGAATAAATAACAAATAAATGATTGAAGACGATTTGCTTGAGATACTTACGAAAAGCCAAACGCGTCTTGCTTTCAATATAATACCTCGGAGATAGAGGATTAACAAACTTGCCTGATGCCTGTCGTATCGAAAGCACAGGAATGCAACTATGTATGTTTCACTATTTTGCTGACCAAATCCCGCCCCCTAGTTTTTTCGAGAAATGTTTTAAACTCCACAGATGAACGATATGATGTCTGTCCCACACTGTTCCTTTCGAATTCAATTGCGCGTCTGAAAAGTGTACTGAGGACTTGAAATGAAATGAGCTTACACAAGGTCCTCCTCCTTTGCAACAAAGTAGGTAGCGTTGTTTTAGTCAAGCTAAAACTCCAGTCTATGATTGTTGACATGTTCTAGTGCTTCAGATATGATGAAACGATTCAATCGAATCTAAACACATCGACTGTCCAAGCGGGACAGCCTCTAAGAAAAGAGCTGAGATACGATAAAATATAAACAACAGCCAACGCATGATTGCGTTGAAATAAGCGAAAGTGTTTTTATTCAATAATTGAAACTTTGAAAATTTATTGTTGCTCTTAGGCCTCTTTCCCATAATTGGTATTCGCGGCTCCACTAACGAATGTGGAACTTTGGAAGCGTAATCGTTAATCTTTGATTTGAAGGTTTTGTCAAAACAACTTTTTTAAGAACAGCAAGCGATTGCAGTACCATTTGCTTGCATATGCTCTTTGTACTATTTATTGAATGATTGATGATCGTCAAGCAATAAAGACAAAAATAAAAAAAAAAAAAACAATTCGAGCTGAGCTCAGACTTTTTTTTTTTTCTATGATATCTAAAACTATTTAATGAATAATGAATAATAATTTGAACATTTCCCCCGTTATGTAAGTGTGTTTGAATGCGATTTTTTAAGATCATACTTGTCAGAGCGTCGCAACAAAAAAATTAATGTTTGCAAATAGATAATCACGTTAGTAATAAACTAATCTGTTTAATTGCATTTCAGACTCGGCTGAATTATAAAAAATGAAACAAGTTTTCTTTTTGTGTACATATGCTAGAGAGGTGGACATATGGCCCATATATAATGATTTGTGCGGTTTACACAGCACATATTGAGCACTTCTCAATAACTTCTCTTTAGTTAAATAGGAGATCTATGAGATCACTTGTTAAAGGTCAGGTTATCAAAGCAAATCAATTAGGCGTTCACATCGACCGCAAAGCTTTAAATTTCTTTTTCTTGCTTCAATTTTCTTTTTTTATTTATTTATTTATTTATTTATTTTTTTTAGTAGGCTAGCCATGCAAGGGTCGCAGAGGAGAGGAGATGTAGTATTCTTTTCTATTGTCTATGTTTGTCAATGACAAGTCATTTATTCAGGAAGTGGATTATGACTGTTTTAACCAAATGCCTCCTCATTAAACCATAGTGTTTTATTAACAACTTTTATACCCACCACCGAAGGATGACGAAATTTTGAACCATTTATTTATTCAGAAGCAACCTTTGCCAAGCAACGCTTGATTAAATTAGGGATCCATTGAAACATATCCATTTTTCGGTCTGTCCGTCTCGAATTTGACATCGGAATTTCCTGCACACAAACTAATATTGAAAATGGGCCAAATTGGTCAATGGATCTAACATAATCGAAGAACAGCTCGTTCCTGTTCAACTCGGATAAACTACAAGAGATGAACCCAAAAATTTCTATATGTTTTCTAAAAAAATGGAAATAAGCAACCACCGCGCCCATCTAATGTTATAGAGCAACCGAAATTTATTAGTATGCGTAAATGTAATTTGGTTGCAGTTTAGTAGTTTCGAAAAACAGATAAAAACATGACTCAAATTTAATCCACAAAACTTGACATAATTTTACATTGAAATAACTGTTAAGTGCTTGGATTAACGTCGTTCATCTCGACTGCTCTAGGGATCTAAAGTAGCTCTAACTAGTCACGGGTTAGTTTATCTCTAACAAGTCCCAAAGTAATTTAGTCCTTAGCTAGTTAGCAAGAAAAACATCTCATCATTTTGATGGTGGGGCGAAAACATTCGGACCTACCGTACTCTGAGATCTTTAATCTTTTAATTGATCGCATTATTCGAATCCGATCAAACGTTCTAGCTCTTGAAGCTATCAAGAATCGATTCTGTCCACGTGTTTGTCCGCCAAAGCATATGTCGGAATATATATGCCATCTGAGAAATTACGATTGGGTAGAACTGGCTGGAGTTCGTTCATATTATGTTAAGAAAAGAGCAAACGTTTAAAGAGGAGAACAAAGAAACGATGGAAATTAAGTGAAGCGTCGTACGCAAAGCTAAACTTAACTTAGCCGGTAGTGCGTAAGAAACTAATGCCAATAAAAACAGATACAACTGTTTTATGTAATTACATAGGAAATTGCCTATAAAAGTTTAAAACAAGCTACTAATGAGGCACAGTAGTTAAAGTCAACATTAAGCAAACGAACGAATTATAATTTCAAGTCGATATGTTCTTAAAGCACATAACACTGCTAATGTTCTTGGTAAGTGAAAATAACGGAAAAAAAATTGAAATCCGCATAGATAAAGATTTAATTCCTTCAATTTTAGATGTCAAGTTCGTATTCCTCAAGTGAAAACTGGAAACAGCCTACACCGCAAACCGTTGTACAAGTTGCTCAAAAATGCTTGCGCCTGCAGAACGGTTTAAATATAGAAACACTTCACGATGACCCGAAACAAGTTAGATGTTTCTTTGAGAATTTGAGTTTATGGGACAAGTATAATGGATTTAAGGCCGAGCGTTTAGGTTACGTGTTCAATAAACGTCAAATGATGAATGAAATCCTTGTCGCGGTAAGCTATTGCAATGATAAAACACGTCAAGACGATGCTAATAAATGGGCTTTTGAAGCCTATAGTTGCTTTGCCGTGGGACCGATCGGCAATTGGACGAATCTTTTTATAACGAATGCTTATAAAAAAGTGTTAAAAGATAAAGGATTGTAATAAAAGAAATTGAATTTGAAGAAAAACAAAAAAAAAAAAAAGAACAAATCGAGTCTCTCTCTATTTAATATTTAAAAAAAAGTCTTAATTGACACTAGACTTAACCAATTGTAAATTAGAATTGATGAAGCAAACACCACCACGATAGGCCCAGGCGCAAGGATCAGTGTCTTCCGGTTTCTTATTCGCGCACTTGGCAATCTTTTCATGGGTCTCATCGCTGTGATCGATTGCGCCGTGCGCACCCACCAATTGTTTATGAATTTTATGCACATCGAAGCCATGGTTCTCATCGAAGAAACCGAAATTTTTGAACATACATTTCATGTAACATTTTGTGAGCTCATCGTCGGGATATTGCCACTTCTTGTATTTCTCTAAAAGATCAGCGGGCACATTCAACTTGGTACTGCACTCGTCACGAAATTTAAGCAAATCCTCACGCGTTTTCACCACATAATCATCATCATCATGTTCATGATGGTGATGACCCCAAACTGTTGCCTAATAATAAGCCAGAGAAGCAAGAAGTGAAATATTTAAAAACCAAAAAAAAAAAAAACAAAAAAAACAAAAACAAACAAAAAATTAAATAAAATTCATCGCGTCGTCGCTTACCAATGTGGCCACCAAAACTACAATCACAATAATTGTTTTCATATTGTTTGCTACGCTCACTACTCTTCACTTGATACTGAACATCTGCTCTATCAGCCCTCAGGGTTTTTATAGGTTCACATTTTCCTACATTGAAATCCAGACAACTAAAGGTTATCGTTACTTTAAAAAACCATAATATAGCGACAACCATAAAAACAACAACTAGAACAATTAAATCAACATCATACAGACATCATGTTTTTGTGTATGTGTATACATACATAGAAATATATATATATATATATACGCATATAAATGTACATATGTATATGTCTATTTTAAGATAATTTTAATTTCATTTTTTGCACACAAAAATTTTTGCTTTTCATTACCGGCGACTATATCGTTTGTCGTGGAGCCTATAAAAGTTGCGCTCAAAACCGGTATATCGAATGTAAACAAATCGCTTAATAAATGATATCCATAAGCAAATTATGTTCAGCTTTGGGGGCGAATCGTAGACACTCATCTTCTAAAGCAAATATATATATATATATTTATATATATATATAATGAAGAATGCTTAGTCCTACAATCTTCTATTGATTATGAATATAGTTTGAATTTTTCGCTTTCTTCCGATATCTTTGGCAGTCGTCTGTGAAAGTGAATTCAAATCATTTATCAAATAACTTAATTTCTTGCTTTAAAGATAGCCAGGATAGATCAGGGATATATGGTTCTTCGGAACACAAGCTTTTCGTTATTGATTTTTAATTGTTTTAAACGTTAGCATAAACTTAGTATAACTTTGTTATCTAAAAGAGTGCACATAATATTTTATACTTTATTTTTATTGTATTTTACAAGACAGACTGGCCTGGGACTAGGCTTTTTAACAACACCAAGTTCAATTGCAAACAATTATTAAACTCTGTTCAATTGTAAATAATAACTAATTAAATACTTTTGTATAGATTCCCATACACTTCTGTACAGTGAAGCGAAATATTTTAGATTAACAGAGAGATAACAAAAACGAATATTCAAAGCAAACAAATCAAATCGACGTCAATCTGTCTTCCTATCCAAGATCCCAATCATGTAGCAAAGAAATACACCAATAATTTTAATCAAGCTCAACTTGGCATTGCCAGCATTTGGGAAACTAAAAGAAAAATAATTCTTTTCTTTTTCTTACTTAATAACGAGTTCGCCGCACTCGTCACGTTTGCTCACTTTTGTAAAATAATGTAAAGAACCTTTGATGAAAGTTGTTGTCTTCGTCAGGAATCTCAAGAATATGTTATGGGTTAGCATAATTGCAAGGAGACATTTCATTAGCACTTAGCGGTACTGTTCCTTGACTCAGAGGTACTTTTCCTAGGACGTGGAGGTGCATTTCTTTTCCTTAGAGCTACTTTTCTTTGGCTCTGAAGTACTTTTCCTTCACTTAGAGGAATTTTTCGCTTGACTTGGACGTGCTTTTCATGAGTAAAAAACTTGTGCGGAAATATTTGCAGCGAGAGACGCTTTGTAAACATGACTACAATCGTTTCTCAGAAATTCTAAATAATTTATTTTTTTAATAAATTACACTTCGCTCATATGGTTGTACAATTTATATTAAAAAATCTTCTTATGACCATTCATTTTATCAAAACGTTTGAAACGCTAAGAAGAAAGCACCAAAGACCCCAACGCATATACATTCTTGACCAGCATCAAAATTTGAATCGATTTAAACATGTCCGTCTGTCCAGGTACACCGTCTACTTGTCTATCTGCCTGTCCGTCTGTTTCACATCTGTACACAGGTTGGTATTGAAAATAAACCAAATCGTCCAAAGGGCAAGCCTACAGTACTAGGTATGCCTTTTTCGTAAAGAATAAAAAATTGGGTTTTTTTTTTGCTCATTACTCATAAACCATATCAGATAAATCTACACAAATTTGACCGTATATTCTATGGGCAATGTTACTGATCGTAAAATTTGTCAAATCCATCCCATTTTCAGTAGGGTTTGTCGCCGGAATGAACCACATTTATATAACTGGTTCTATTAAAGCAGTACCGATTGGTCTACGTCTAAGGTACTTGTGGGTGCTACACATGTCCGCACAAACTTGATATATCAGTTAAAACTTTTAAAAGCTCGCTTTGAAAAAAGTTTTGAAACTCTGTCTGATTCTTAAGAGAGACAAAGTCGCCAGTTATGGCATTAAGAATCCAAATTTTAAATAATCAGATCTCTCAACGAACATAGCGTTAGCCTAAAATGTTCCTATCATTCAAATTCAGATGAAATAATATTTGAGACTTGATACCCATTAATTTGTGCTATGAAATTGTTAGGCCGTTCCAACCTACGTTCAAGTCGAATCTTATCAACGGATATACTAAAACTTTAGCAATAGTTGTAAAATTTCGAATTCAGACTCTACGCGTCATAGTGATGTTTGATGGGCAAATAAGAAATTTTAAGGTGAAGAAATCAGCGTAAATGCTTCTTATTGGTTGCTCCGCTCCGAAAAATCAAAGTCTGACGAATTTATTTTTATTTCCCCTCAACAAAACTAGTCTATCAATCTATTGAGATAAATTCATCGGAAAGCTTCCGTAGCAAATCGTAGGGATAGATGTTAAATGACGCCATAAGCGTTATTAACTAACTGATAACTTGGCAAATAATAATGAAAATAATTAAATGATTCTTAGGCAATTAGTAAACGTGATAAGACAAACCCCGTTAATGCACATTAGAAACGTGCATCAAGACATGATGGTTTAAAGCTAACTACCCTACGGTCCCGCCGCCTTCTTTAGATTAGGTTACGTACACAACATAAATCACTTGATTATCGGTTAACCAATAAATTTTATTAATTTCAATAATTAATGGTTTAGCTTAAATAAGGGAATTATTTTGGTTTCAGCCAAACGGCTGATGAAAGCGTTTTACATACTAAATGACTTAATTGGGAAAACCAATACAGAGAACACACGTCCATGCACACATAAATAAGCAAATGCGCGACTAAGCAAAAAACTTTAACACTTTCTATGTCGACGAAAGTTAATCAATTCTTGTATGAGCTGAGATCCCATTATTCATTTGAATGTCTGAGAAAAGTGAAAAACTATGAATTCGAGCATTAAATATTTGTGCAATTAGTGCAAAAAGAAAAACAAAACAACAATATTTCAGCAAACTCATTAAGGTCAGATATGTTTTTATATCAAAGAAACGATCGTGTGCTCGCTGTACTTTTATTTAGTTCGCAATGGCCGCAGCAATGAATTTGCAATAATAATAACAATAATAATAATAATGATAATGAAAACTTATTAACCCTTTCATTGTCATTGCCTGCGACAAGCAAAGTGAAGCAGAGAATTAAGATCAAATTTATTTTAAATATGAAACAACTCATCAAAAATCCTCAAAAAGAGTTCGTTCCTAAGCATACCTTGAACTCTTATTTCATAGGGAGACCTACACCTCCTACTCCTTTTTATCTCAGTATCAGTTTGTTTCGGTCATCAATCAAAACTTTTCCAGCGGATTGTACACAGAGTCAGTTCTGAACACAGCACCATTTCTCATAAATCGAAATCTCATGAAAAGCTCTTTAAAGTTTATTAACATTTCACGTATTTTTCGCATTTTTCGCTTGAAATAGAATATTCGGATCTGTAAGGGGATTACGCTTTTAACAAGTAATCGCAAATTTATCGCAAATAAATTCGAGAAAATTGCCCATCACCTTGTGCTCACAAGGTAGCACACATTAATCTTTACGTGTAGAATATATACCCCTTCGTGTCAATTCCACAGATCAAGGTTGAAACCAGGCATAATGAATCCACAAATAACTTCACGTATGCCATAAAGAGAGCCGAAGGAAAGAAGATTTTAAATATATTCTCTCTTTTAATTTTTCATTAAGGGTACTCTTCCCAGACATGCTTTGGAATCAATTCCATAGATGTTGAAAGGTTTTAGAAATCTAAAGCAATAAGTACATTTGGCCTCTTGTACCGCCGGATGATTACAACGACAGTGAATAGACGCAAAGTATGTCAAAGTCATACTACCCGCCTTATGTACATTAGCAACTGTGTATGTTTGAAACATGAAAAGAAGCTGCAAACCGGCTAACCTGGAGCATACCTGTGAGAGGATACACTGCTCATGTACTGCTAGTGAATAAAATGTGACGGTACATCTGTCTTTCTGTCTCTTTGCGCATCGTTAACCTTCTTATAATTTTGAAAATTAAAATCTATGCCCTTGGATCTACAAATAAGGTATAAATAATGATGAATTTTCATTCGCAGCTCCAAACTTGCAATAGGAAGGTGAAGGAGCCGAGAATAAATATTGAAAAGTTCCTAGTTATCGAATCCGCGTTAGATAATATTGGCACTTGGAACATGGCACAGCTGCTTATTGGACTATCTGATTTAAGAAGTACTCATCTGAAAGCAATCTCGATCCGTGCTTAACATTAAATTATTTAAAATGATAGATTTCGACTATAATATCGAAGAGGGGAAGGAAGGTATAACTTTTTTACTTGTTTCGTTCATTCTAGTTTAGTCCGAACGTGGTCAGTTCAAGAATAACTTAAATGGCGTCTCTCTAGGGAGAATCTTTAATAACGTCGCCAAATTTAACGGCTTGAACCTGATAAGGACATGTATTGTATTGAATCAAAATCCGTGCCAATCTAATAATAAATTTGCACGCACGAAAAGAAAAAAAAAATGCATTCTAAGGCACCTTTTTATCTACGCAGGTGAACGGGCAGGTCCGGGAAATGAATACGTGTAAGAAAGAAACGAGAACGCCTCCTAAAACAAATTTGAAATAATAGCAACATATAGCAACAATAGCAATAACGAAAGTAAAAGATTAACAAACGACGACTGCTTTGTTAAAGAAATAAACAAAAACTAACATCAACTCGAGATAATTTGACACAAATTGTTTGTGTGCTGTCAGACCGCGGGGGGAAAAAAAAAAAAAAAAAAAAAAACCATGAAAAGTAGATGATCATCAAAGAGTTGTGAGAGGAGTGTTATTTAGCTTTTTTTTTGGTGTTTTTTTTTTTTTTTTTT